GGCGCCACCGGCTGGGCTCCCCCGATTATCGTCTGGGTATATTTGCGTGCTACCTCAGTGCTTTAAACTTACGGAGGTATCAATTCGGGTTGACAGTACGGGTATAACGGAGTATTAGAAATTATACTGATCAAGAGGAAGGTTTCATATTATTATGGTAGATATACCAGCATCTTAAATATTTATAGGAAGTTTTAATTTATAGTCGCGAGATCTAGGCAGGTACGGCTCGTGACGATAATCAGTCTTTAAGTTTCAAATAAGCATGAAGTACCCGATACAAAACATGTTCAGAGATTGGCCGAAATGGACAATAAAGAATCGATAAATGTATTTAAGCAATTGGCAGTCATGATAATCATTAATCAATGCAGTGTATATTGCTATTATTAATCCTGCTTCTAGTCTGTACCCCAGTTTTAGTTCGAATTATGGCCTAATATATGACTCTAGAGTCGTCGACCCATCATTTCCTCCTTGAAATATAACATGTCAGTTTTCCTATTATTGACGACTTATATAAAAGATTTTGTGCTCGTGAAGATTTGTGACCTAACCCACCTATTTGAATTTTCATGCATATTTAAAAATAACAGTAACTGTAAGGAAGACCGCGAGTTTTAACGGGGCATTTCCAAGCAACAAAAACACGCACGTTAACAAGTGAAACAGTAGCACAGAATACGTTCCAACTCTTGTTTCTGCTCGTGCCATGACCGCTACAATATGTTCGTACCCAATTGCTTTGACGGTAGAATCTTGCAAGTTGTTTATCTGAATGTGTTATCTATGCGGATCCTAACAAACGCACTCGTTAGTAAAGTATTAGTACACCTTCTTTGATCAATAATTGGAGTATCTTTTCAGGCTTTTATCTCAATGGTCACTTTGAATGAGTCAATCGGCCGCTTTCAGCTGTATGTGGATATCGGGTGCCGAGACCTTTCAATAGACAAGCTATCCTCAAGGTACTTATAGAACAAGGAATGAGAACCGCTTTGAAAATTATGCTCTCTTCGATCAACCAGACAAAAATATTCAAAACCTTAAGAATAAGAAAATATAAATTCCCCGCTGAAGGCAAAGTCAGTAAGGGCATTTAATCTTAGAATCAGACAATTCAGGCAGTTCAAGTCCAGAATTAATAGGTTTACATGTTTATTGTTAAGGGATCTCAGAAATCTATAAGTGTTTTGGGTTCTTGTACATTTGATAGTCTCACCGCATGAACCCTAACCATATTATACCTTCAAACCTAACTTTAACCCTCCAAATCGGTGTTGGGATACAAAATCAGGTAATTCACTAGACTAGTCTTACTTACAAGTGACCCTTCTGAGGATAGAGTATACTCTCCTTTGAGCTTATTTTGCAGATGCTACATCGTACATATTAAACGCATAACTTAATAAACAAAAGTGACTAAACAGAGAACTTACTTAACACAGAATCAAGGTAATGTAAATTTGCTAATATTGATAATCTGTCGAAGAACATCTGGGGAACATCTGGGGCACAAACACCACCCCGGGAACATCTGGGGCCAAACACCATCCCGGAAACATCTGGGGCACTAACACCACTCCGAGAACATCTGGGGCACAAAGACCACCCCGGGAACATCTGGGGCACAAACACCACTCCAGGAACATCTGGGGCACAAACACCACTCCGGGAACATCTGGGGCACTAACACCACTCCGGGAACATCTGGGGCACTAACACCACTCCGGGAACATCTGGGGCACTAACACCACCCGGGAACATCTGGGGCACTAACACCACTCCGGGAACATCTGGGGCACAAACACCACTCCGAGAACATCTGGGGCACAAAGGTCAAAGACCACTCCGGGAACATCTAGGGCACAAACACCACTCCGAGAACATCTGGGGCACAAAGGTCAAAGACCACTCCGGGAACATCTGGGGCACTAACGTCTAATACCACTCCGGGAACATCTGGGGCACAAACTCCACTCCGGGATCATCTGGGGCACAAACACCACTCCGAGAACATCTGGGGCACAAAGGTCAAAGACCACTCCGGGAACATCTAGGGCACAAACACCACTCCGAGAACATCTGGGGCCCAAAGACCACCACGGGAACATCTGGATTGCACCTGATGTGCGTATGATAAAAACTTGGTAGAGATACATGGGACTCCAGTTTCCACGTGTTTGCCCCAGATGTGTCCAGAGTTATTTCGTGCCCAAAGTTATTTTTGTGTGGCCCAGATTTTCCCCAGATGTGCTTTGACTTATTAATAAGTTGAACGCAATAATCAGAAAGATCTCTGGTATTTTACCAGGAAACGGGTTTAGAATGTATCGAAGTAAAAACTAGTTCATTTTACTTCGAGGTTTTTAGAAACATTTTCTGGTTGTCAGACCTCTAATTGATAAATCCCAATTTTATCCACCCCTCTCCCGAAAGAAGCTCAGTTAACGAGAAAAATTGACCAAAAATGAATCAGGTCTGTTAGAAAATAGTCAGGTTTCATTTTCAGCGAAGCGTAAAAAATTTACCAATTGTGAATAAAAATTCTATTGAAGTTTTTCAGATAAGTGTGGTAACTGGCACGATTTACAAGGTTTCAGGCTGATGCCAAGTGTAATTGCTTGAGTTGTAGCGGTAAACTGATATCGGCACAATCAGCACAATCGGCGCAACAGACTAAAAGTAAAAAGCGAAGCATGGACAATCGTCCGGTCTATTCACGGACCTCTAACGGATATGATCCAGGCACCGATACCATTCCGATCCTGTTCGAGGTCGCCCTGTTGAGCAGGCTGATAATCAGATATATCGATCTCTGACAAAAGGCAGCAATTATATGGCGACGGTGAATGAGCCTAATTAGATACCAACCTTCCGATAATGGCGGGTTTCTAGTGATTTACCATCAACAAGCACTTAACTTTGTATAATGCAAAAGATCCGAACGTAATCTAACAATAGGATTAGACACAAATGGTCCTCCTTATTGCAGGTAGTTGCGATCCCAGCAGCCCATGGTTATTATTCCTAGAACTCTTTAGATGAACTCCAATAAATCGCATTGTGGTGCAGTAGTCCGCGGGCTTTGTGAACAATGGTTTAAATTGGTTTAAATTGGTCCACTGGTTCGGTAATGTGGACCAATTCATTCTTCTAACTATTTGGCAACACTCTTCCAGGCTAAGATAGAAAGTCAGCGGCAACAGTTAGGGCTTAACTGCCCGCAGCTTAATCTTAAAGAGTTAGGGCGGGCGAACCTTTTACAAACCAAAGGCTCAAAACATAGACTGCTAGAGATAACGATGACTACAAAGCCCCGATAGTACGATAGATGTATACAGTACTGCACGTTGTCAACTCAAGGCTTTTAAGTGGTGAAAGTAAACTTCAGCCTTTTATCACCGCTACACGACAAAGGAATCGGTAAATAAATTGTGACGGTTACGTAATTCAGAGGATGCTGTGATTTTTCTCAGTGTTCAAACTTTTAGACGTGGAATGATTTCACAGATATTTACCCATTTAACCATTGTTTATTGGCGCAGTAACTGCGTATATTAACTAACTAACCCGTGACAAGCAACTAAAGAGAGCAAGCAAATGACAATAGGTCTAACATATTCTCACATATTCATTTAATGGGAGATTAATTTTCCATTTCTTCCCCCAACCGGGTCCAGTAATCACATCCAATAAATAACTACAAAAATTACAAAGTGATACGCATATACAATTAACTACATGCGACCTGACAGCCAATCCTGGCCACTAACAATTCTACCGCCATCGGTTTTAGTGTTAACGAGAGATGGAGTCTAATTAATATGTTCATAAATTTTCCGGACATTCTTGCGCTTTTTATTGCAAATGGGACAGTGTTAAATCGGCCGAATGGTGATGAAAATTCTTTGAAATTGAACTTCAACTTTCCGATGGCAACATTTATTGTCAAGTGAAACTGTTGAATTTGAAAGGAAAATAAAAACGAACAAACTGACGACCGGCTGATACCCCAAACAATGGATTATAATATCTTCACTTAGCAAATGAAGTTGGAACTAGAACTTGCATCCATGAAATTAATAGTGGACCGATTAACTGTGGGTTTCTGGGTGTGTCACACTCTCGCGTGATGTGTCTAAAACAAAAAACCGGAGATGGCACATAATTTTCAATGATTTCTGTATTTATGACGCTAACTCCAAATCCGTCCACTTTTGATATAGAGCGAGTGGGTAGTGGACAATGAGGGTTTCCAGTTTCAATCTTTTCAAGTATATACAGAATGCAGATGTACCAACTCAAATCAGAACTCTGAATCGGACACAATAGAAATTGATCCAATTTGAGGGTAATTGTACAAAAGGTAAATGATGTATAAGAATGAGACAGGTGGTTCAGCTATAGTCTAATTGAATCCACTCAATTATTCATACTTACTTTGTTTGTTAGATTGGATGATCTATTTAGGCTCGTTAAACAATAGACAACTGACAATGACGGAGTCAGCACTAGAGAGGGACCACGCATCAGTTACAGACCAGGAGACAAACCAGGAGACGTGAACATTTATAGTGAAAATTATATAAATTTCGAAGGAGATGCTATTTTTGTACTATCCTAAAGTTATTTTGGGCTGGGATAGGTAAAAACATCCAAACTTACTACTGCTTGTAGCTATTTTTGACTGATAAGCAATTTCAGATGTGACCAATAAAATTTACACTATAGTATTGTGCAAGTAAGGAGGTTAAGATGTTATCTCCTGCTTATCTAGTACCCCTCTCATCACGTAAAAAGTCTCTCTAGCTTTACTGATTGTTATTATTATCAAATATAGCATCAGAAATGCGACCACCGACAATTGCTGGCGTAGCTAAAAAGGGGGGTTATGACTGAAAGAATATGATTTTTGTTAGTTATATGCTATTTGTAGAATGAAGGTGGTTCTACTGATTGAGCTGTCAGAAAGTGGAGAAGCGAGTAAAACACAGCAATTATATTAATTCATTTAATCAGTATTGTGATGTATCATTCTCAGTAAAGACATATATTTACCAAATTTAATAAATTAGATGAATGAGCGTTGTTGGTACACGAAGAATTATGGCATCGAGTTTAAAATAACGTGATGATGATATAATCAACAATTATACCATTTCAAGCATGAGCAGTCTCAGAAAATCTTAAAACCTGACAAGCAAATATCTCATCAACTTACCAGTATCCTTCATATTACCAAACATTTTCCCAATCTTTAATCTCATTTTTAGTTCATAAACTCTACAGTCCTTGCCTGACATTATCTCTCCTTTCGTTTTAAACGTTTCTGCTGCTATTCTTTTTATTTTCATGAGAATAAATTCCAAAAGTGACGGTTTATCAAATAATAATAAGTCAAAGGGATGCCAAATGACCCGTGGTCAGATAATCAAGGCGTTGTCCTGAATCCGAAGGTCTGTCAAAGAATCGAAACTTAGCTCAAGTACCAGCGGGCCATGCACAACGATTACCCTACTCGCTTTATCGGCCAACAGGTGACACATTTTTTGTGAAAATTTAGAAAACTCGTTAACAAGATCCTAGTCACGGCTGGTACAAATTTATATTTGTCTCCCTGACTAGCCCTTTGTTATACGTGCATGAAAATCAGCTGTCTCTACAGTAGTGGGGACGTTTTTTGCCTATTAAGGTTTGTAAGGATTGCGGCTGGGAACCCCAAGGATATATATTTAATTGGTTGTGCTATAAATAAACCTACTTAATGCCCGCCTGTTAGGTCTCTAAGAAGAAAGGTGTGGTCATGGTCTCCACGAAGGAGATGTAGGGAGCTCCCCCTGCCACCGCTACCTTGCCGCTACTGGACACGGCCAGAGAGGATACTGATCTTCTGAAACCATCTATCCGAGATACCACTTTTTCTTGTGCTATCGAGATTATCTGCAAGTACGATCAAAGGGGGTTAATTGATAAGTTCGCGGAATTTGTTTTAAAGCGATCAGCTCTCACGTTTAAGAGAAATCACGAAACTTTATTTATTATAGACGGGACTATCATTATGAAACTGATCAAGCCATTTTTGCACGTGATCAAGCCATGTTGTCACTTGAACGCCTCAGTCCCACTGTCAAAGGACTTGCAATATGGTCAATTCGACAAAGAAAGGTAAGAAGGTTTAATATTATGTGTTCAAAAATAGAATAATACGTAATGATAGACCAGTCAGGAATCAAGATAGGTAATCTACCTATCCATTAAATAACGAGCACTGCTCGCTAAAACCTGTCGTACCATCATTCTGGGACACTCATTAAAACCACATCTCCACATGATCGAAAAACATTGTGTCGAACTCGAGTACGTTACCTTGACTCTAGTTCGACACGTGCCAAAGTTCGAGAGAATTGGTTTCTGGTGGACTTTAGTTATAGAACTGTATACTACGTGTCGAACTACAGAACATGAATCGACCTGGTAAACATGTTAAAATTATTAAAATGTAACCTGAGCGTCATGACAAGTAGCGCTGCCTGCAATCACGTGGTTGTCTCCGCAGAACTTCACTACAAGAACATATTCTCCCCGGAGTTTGGGGCTCTCGTAGGGCAGGCATGCGATCCTTCTTCCTTCCTGGGGGAAATGGTTACGTAATGTTTTAAGAACCATGCAAGTTTGAAGGGTTATCTGCAGACAACAGTCTGCAGGGGCAAGCTAATGGTTTAAAGGGAGAGTGTTTAATGATATCAGGTTTGTCCGACTAGTGAATCCCTACAAATAGAAACTTGGAATCAAATTTGACTTGCTTATCACTGCTTAAATTAGGCTTCTGTTTATACTGTTTGGAAACTTTACCCAACTGCATGACACCCACGTGTTTGAACTGGAGAGGTGAACACTGGGTAATCTTAGAGGGTGGATAACGTAGTAATACTATTGTCTGACTGTCTAATACCATTAGCATCTTGTCAGTAGTTAATCACTAAATCAATCAACTACTGTCTGATTACATGTGAGAAATCACATGACAAGGACACATGACACGTGCAGTTCGTCGGTCCTTCGTCTTGCAGGTCACTGCAACTCTTAGGTACGTCACTGATCATATGACCAGACACTTTGCTTTAACGAGGTAACCGGAGACAGCGGTACGACAAACTTATCTGCAGCAAGATATATAAACCTCTTATATCTGTCATATATCCATTATCCATTATCCATCATCAGTTCGACTTCAATCAGTTTAGCAGTTATATCTTCTTTGCAAAGTACAATTCAGCCCAACTTCAGATACACCAGCATGCACCAGAAACCAGTTCCCGCTCAGTTCCACGCTCCTCCTCCTCCTCCTGCTCCTGAGTTTAACCAAGTGTTTTGCCCCCCTCCACCCTATCAGGAGGACCTGCCACAGAACCACTACTACAGAGCCGGTACACGGATAGTACCTGCACATAAACTCGTCCTTCAGTTCCCTTACTCAGCCAAGCCGACACCTTACCTTGATTCTACCTACGAAAATGCCTACTGTCATAACCTCATTTTACCCAAACCAGGGGAATGTTTGAAGAAATCAAGTGGTTTAGAAACCCCTCCTGGATCCTCTGAAGATGTAAAGGTTCCCTTCTCAGACAGTGGACGAAGGAGAAGTTTGTGGAGAATTCTAGTGCGGAAAGTTACCAAGAAACGTCTGAGTGTTGGTCTGAAACCTAAATCTAAATCAATGAGCTCGGGTTTAAAACCACGAACCAGAGCAATGAGTTGCGACGACACACGGCAAGTGGTTGAGATGAAGCCAGCAACCCATCCTTTTATCACACCAACTATCCAGCCCCTGGTACACGTATCACCTTCAGTGAAACCACCAACTCCCCCTCCTAGAGGCATAGTGAAACCTCCACGAAGGTTTAAGAAAACCTCCCCAGACAACTCAACTCTCTGTTCCGTCTCGTCCAGAAAACACTCTTCGTCAGATCAAGAATCCTTCAGTTCGCTTAAAAAGATTAAAAAGTCTGTTTCCTTCAGTAATATCGCTACCAGCAGTCTTCTTCCTGCTAAGGGGGCAAGAAAGAGAACGCTCACGAACTCGTACGTTTGCAATGGCTATATTTTCACCAAGTTGTGAATTTCTCTATTTGCTCTTATTTCTTTTAAAATGTTTATTAAGTTTTAGGTATAATTAGTTTATGTATAGTTGTGTTATTTTTATTGTTTATTTCAAAAAATATAGATAATAGTCTTTCCTTGTTACTTCCCAATCTTACCTTTATGCTCCAAAGCTCGATAGCGTTTTCAGGAAGTAGAGATCCAGTGACGCACAGGTCCCCCTTTATAGCCAGCGCATCACCACACAACTTAGGTCCGAAGTTGCTGCCTGTACTCATACTCTTAACTACTTGACCTGTTCTCAAGTCCCAAACTTTTACTGAGCTGCAGATATTTTGGGTTTTTAAAGCACGAAGAAATATTGTTTTTTATTGGGAATTTTATCGAGATTATTTGATCGTGCACATTCAAATTGCTATGATTTCAAGATAATCACTGGATTACCTTTCTAAGGCAACAATGATGCTTAGGAAAAATATAAATTCGACTAAAATCGATTAAAATAACACTTATTTTGCCTCCCCTGGTCTCTATTTAAAATTTTTGGCAGCTGAATGAAATCTGTTCATCTGATTCGACAATGACATTTCACATTTATACTATATTTCTTCATCCACGCCTTAGGCAAATCTCTTTTGATTTCTACCAGACATTCCAATTGCATGATATTATAATTAACATACCATTGTTTTGGTCATGAATACTTGTTGTACTGTCTGGCAATGTTTTCATCACGCCTCCGTTATTCGGACAAAACATTAATCTTGATTTGCCTTTTGTCCGGGTTTCCTCCCGGTCGATTAAATAATGAGACATTCATTTAATTATTCCTTCTATTGATAATGCTTTTTAATTTTCTTAATAATAGATTATTGAGAACATTGTTCTACCCACGTCAGAATTAAAGAACACAATAGTACCATGTTGTGATAAGACTATTTTGTCCAGTATTGTTCCACAGTGATGACTCAATAAAGCGGAGACTTGGACGAACACGTAGACAACTAAAATCCACTAAATTCCAACTAAAATCCATTAAATTCATAGGGAATTAAACATGAATTAAACATGAAATGACCAAGGAGAACACTAACGAACTCTTCTTGGTAATCACAGGGTGATTCGAAAAATTAAAAATTCGACGCAGATAATTGCAAGTGACAGGTATATGAGTATTGAGTATGAACTATGAAGTATAAAGGATGATTTCTTACTTGTCCCACCCTCCGGACACCAGATGATAAGGACTCTCATCAGAGAACTTGACGGAGAATATCCTCTTGCCGTGTTGAGTGAGAGTGTCCTCGGGAGGGCCTATGTAGTCTCCCTCTGTTAGAGGACCCAGAACTGAGAACGGCTGCGGAAATTTGGAAATTTGGAAATGTGGAAATGCAGAAAATGCGGAGGAAATGTGGTCATCAGAAATTAGTTAAATCAGATGTCTGATGTTTTACCGCTCTTCATTTAAGGACATAAATGTTATGTTGCAAATTATTTTCAAGATTCTTATATATGATTAAATCTAACTATGTTTGCATTTGCAACCGAATTTACACAAAGACCTCACTTATTTATACCCCTAGCTATCCACTATCCTAACCCGTTATATTTAACCAGCCTGTAAAATACTTATTTAATATACGACTTAAACAATAAACTGGTAACACTGAAATGTAGCTGCTTGGATAGCTGACACGGGAAAAATTTGGAGGGATGATAAAATATAACTCGATATACCAAGGCCATTTGGCAAACAAATTAAAATGGAAAGTAAATTAAAGATGTAGTTGAGATGGCAGCACCTTGAACTTCTCCCAGTCGTATATCCTGATGTTCCTATCTTTCCCTGCCGTGCAGAAGTAGTAACCAAATTCACTGACATCTAGAGTGTTTATCTCGTTTTCTGAACAAATCAACTTATTATTTATTTATTAACTATTTAAATATTAATTTTCTGATTTCCGGTCATTGACATTATTTATCTGTTTTTAAACCTTAACCTGGTTATTCGAGTAGATCTCATTTTAAAAGTCATGTTTAACTCCTATATAATCAGTCCCTCAACCATTACTCACACATTTAAATGTGGTCGACAAGTTAAACTAATGTTTAAAACTTAACATGTGTCAAATTCCATCAATCACAGAGAGGCATCATGAAACGCATTGTAAGACACAAGCATACTTCATAACTTGTACTATCTTTTAAATGAAGTACAAATTCACAGGTCAAAGTATGTGCATGTTTGTCACGACTGATAACTTGTTGCTTTTTCAGAATTACATGCCGTGAATGTTGCAGCATGGGAAACGTGACACAAGCTTTTGAAACAAAGTAACGAGGTAGGTTACTCAGATTAGATCATTTAAACTACATTAATAATAACTCTAAAAATACGCTTATCTCAAGAACGTCCGGTACTCACTAATCTCCATGCGTCATGAATGTCAAAAATCCTGTTGTTAATTCCTCCCCTCAGCATTTTATTGATACCAGAGCATTACTGACGTCAAATATAAGGGGGTCTAAATGACAAGCTCATCCGTCTCATGGTCACAGAACGCGATGGGATGGTTAAATCACAATCCGCACTGGTCAATCACTGGTCAATCACTGGTCAGTCACTGGTCAGTCACTGGTCAGTCACTGGTCAGTCACTGGTCAGCTCATACATGGTCAATTTCATGAGGTGTGAATTGAAACAAAACCAAACCACACTTCTTTTTTAACTTGTTTGCCGTGGCCAGTTAGCTCTCCGAAGCCTTCACTTTGTTTTATAGGTGTTGGCGCCGTATGTTGGCCACAACAAAGAGGCTATTTTTAGATTTTTCATTAAGGATGTGGACTACTATGCGTTCAAGAAGTTTGAGACAAAATTTATGATAAATTCAGTGTCTCTATTATATTTCAGAGATTTGGTACGACATGGTAACGCACAATAATTGTACGTACAAAGATAATCATGATTTGAGCGACATTATATGATCTGTTTTATGTCGATAACGTTGTTTTCAGTGCATATTACAATTTAATCGGCTAGGTACATCTTTGATCAGGATTCAGGATGGTCATTTTTGAATCTGTAAACACTTACTAACAAAATACTATTAGCTCCTTCCCTGAGACAGTGTGCAGTATAATTATTTAAGACAAGGCGTCGTATTGACAACTATTTACTGGGTTCACTGATAAAAATAGCAATTTTAAAGCATGAAAGTCATTAGGTATAATTTATAACAATGCATAATTGTGATCCATTATAGTAGGCACTAAATAATTAGCCTAATCAGTCCATTAGTTTGAGGGCTGGAATTATCAGAGTTATCAAAAGAAACGCACATCGCCGCAAACATTATTGGAGCGGCATAAGCATTGTGATCGGTTTTGGGAAATTGGCAGCCAACAAAGTAACGTACAGTATGATAACTGCTTACCTTCATCTGTAGTCATAACGTCCACAACGTTTGATTCGTCCTCTATCTGAAGATGCATTGGATAGTCAAGGTAATGTTAGTCGAGAAATTAGATTTAATATTAATATTTCTGACAAACAGATCAACCGGTACAGACAGCCTCGTGATATGTATCTTGAAATATCTAAATTGAAATATCTAATATCTATGCGTTTTAAGTTATTAATTCCACAGTAAAGTTACATTTCACGAGGCGTCTGTAAATTGAACTGCTAGTTTACTACTGGTCCATAACGAGGCATTTAATTTAGCTCCGGTGACATTGTAATTTAACAGGAACATCATCAGTGACTGTTGTAACTCTGAGCAGTTGGCGTGCACATGTTATTTATCTCAATATACAGTGAAACTTTAAATACCTGACCTGTTTAATGTTTGATCTAGGGGAACTTACAAATTTTAGGTAATTTAATGAATATGATTCCAGCAAATTCTATGTAAAAATCTACGTACGGTAGTCGCTGGAGAAAAATATATTACCTGGATTTTACCAATCTAAAAATATTTTGGTCCAGAAATCTAGTATTTCAATTAAATAAGAATGTTAAGGTACCCTCTGAAGAAAGATGGGTCCACTAGCGAGACAGTACAGCATCTCGGACCTATCCTGACTCCGGAACTGCAGGCCTGTAACCGGCAACTGTTCGCTCTTCCTACTGGGACAGCAGGTCAGCTTGGCTGTTTTGGTATCGTGGAGCGTGACGTCACCAGATCCGTAGCCCACCGCCAGTCTAGTGCCATCCTTGGTGAAGTCGAGGGAGAAGACACCGTCGTAGTGACTTCTTATCTTGTATCTCTTGACAGGGAGCAGCTGGGGCACCTGGGATATTGGTGATCTACTGCTGTTATAGCTCCTTGTTAGACTTGAAGATCACGTCACATGTCTGACACGTACAATACGGATTGGAATATTATTTATGAGTCGCATAGTTGAAATGTATTCTTGGGTAAATTTCTATTGATCCCGTTTGATGCAGCAAGGAAAAGGCTTTCATCAGGAAAGGAATTATTCAACTTTTCAATGTGACAACATCGTATTCATGATATCAAATTATTTGTATAGCAGTGTTGAAAGTATTAAATATTTAATACTTTCAACGCTTCTATATAACAAATAATTTGGTTGTACACAGACACAGTGCGTATATCGTGGTTGTAATGCGATATCGTGTGCATATTGTACTCCGAATGTTTATCGCCTACGTTTTTCACCTTAAATTTACAATTGATAATGTTTTGGAAGTAATAGTCAACAAATAATTATGTTATATAGTCCTGCTAACTCATTATTTCAGACTTACACGTTAACGTATCACCGAGATATGCATTTATAGATACTCAAATGACTGATCCCGGTTTCATTTTTTTGTGGCTTCCTTCCTAAGATAAATGGCTTTACATTTTACCTCCGCTTATATGCTCGATAGTTAACGTAGTCATAGTAAAGTGTCTATTACACCTGTATAACACCTGTATAGTGTATAATTAGCCTCATATTCTCACATAGGTTTGTGTAATTCATTATCAACAGTGACTACTTATGTGCTACTTTGTGTATTGATTTTGTTGGCTATGATTTGCACATTGGTCTCGCTTTTATTTGTAGTTCTATTACGTATTATTCCAATGAGAGTTGTTTAAAAGAGCACCATTAGCTACGTTTTATTCGAGTTTTATCTTGGTTTCTTCTAGGTTTAATCATCGATAACGAGCATAGTGCATGCATTAGTGCATTACTTACAGTATCTCAATCATGATTCACTGAACGTACCTTGGCAGCAGCAGTAGTAAGCGAATTAGACCCTGATCTACTGAACGTACCTTGGCAGCAGCAGTAGTAAGCGAACTAAACCCTGATCTACTGAACGTACCTTGGCAGCAGCAGTAGTAAGCGAACTAAACCCTGATTCACTGAACGTACCTTGGCAGCAGCAGTAGTAAGCGAACTAAACCCTGATTCACTGAACGTACCTTGGCAGCAGCAGTAGTAAGCGAACTAAACCCTGATCTACTGAACGTACCTTGGCAGCAGCAGTAGTAAGCGAACTAAACCCTGATTCACTGAACGTACCTTGGCAGCAGCAGTAGTAAGCGAACTAAACCCTGATTCACTGAACGTACCTTGGCAGCAGCAGTAGTAAGCGAACTAAACCCTGATCTACTGAACGTACCTTGGCAGCAGCAGTAGTAAGCGAACTAAACCCTGATTCACTGAACGTACCTTGGCAGCAGCAGTAGTAAGCGAACTAAACCCTGATTCACTGAACGTACCTTAGCAGCAGCAGTAGTAAGCGAACTAAACCCTGATTCACTGAACGTACCTTGGCAGCAGCAGTAGTAAGCGAACTAAACCCTGATTCACTGAACGTACCTTGGCAGCAGCAGTAGTAAGCGAACTAAACCCTGATCTACTGAACGTACCTTGGCAGCAGCAGTAGTAAGCGAACTAAACCCTGATTCACTGAACGTACCTTGGCAGCAGCAGTAGTAAGCGAACTAAACCCTGATTCACTGAACGTACCTTGGCAGCAGCAGTAGTAAGCAAACTAAACCCTGATTCACTGAACGTACCTTGGCAGCAGCAGTAGTAAGCAAACTAAACCCTGATCTACTGAACGTACCTTGGCAGCAGCAGTAGTAAGCGAACTAAACCCTGATTCACTGAACGTACCTTGGCAGCAGCAGTAGTAAGCGAACTAAACCCTGATTCACTGAACGTACCTTGGCAGCAGCAGTAGTAAGCGAACTAAACCCTGATTCACTGAACGTACCTTGGCAGCAGCAGTAGTAAGCGAACTAAACCCTGATTCACTGAACGTACCTTGGCAGCAGCAGTAGTAAGCAAACTAAACCTGATTCACTGAACGTACCTTGGCAGCAGCAGTAGTAAGCGAACTAAACCCTGATTCACTGAACGTACCTTGGCAGCAGCAGTAGTAAGCGAACTAAACCCTGATTCACTGAACGTACCTTGGCAGCAGCAGTAGTAAGCGAACTAAACCCTGATTCACTGAACGTACCTTGGCAGCAGCAGTAGTAAGGGAACTAAACCCTGATTCTCTGAACGTACCTTGGCAGCAGCAGAGGAGCAGGTTCCAGTGCTAATAGGGGAGAATAGAGACCCCTCATTCCACACTTGACGGAGTTGATGGGAGTTCAGACAGCTGAGTGCACGATGTAGATCTATCATTTCCAGCCCTCTGTGAAAGGGAGGTCGCTGCTTCTTCTAGAATATCATACTATGTACGATTAGATCGTTAGTCGAAAACTTAAACCTAGCTATTCGAAAAGTCAAATTTGTGCATCACAGACATGCAAACTTACAAAGAGACTTTGAATTCGTTATGGTTATCGGAATGGCTTTATGCTGTATGAAAAATGTGCTGTATGTCTAATTAATATTGTTCACATGGATATATGAATAGTCAGATAGAAATAAATACCCCTCCTCCACAAGTAAATACTCCTCCTCCACAAGTAAATACTCCTCCTCCACAAGTAAATACTCCTCCTCCACAAGTAAATACTCCTCCTCCACAAGTAAATACTCCTCCTCCACAAGTAAATACTCCTCCTCCACAAGTAAATACTCCTCCTCCACAAGTAAATACTCCTCCTCCACAAGTAAATACTCCTCCTCCACAAGTAAATACTCCTCCTCCACAAGTAAATACTCCTCCTCCACAAGTAAATACTCCTCCTCCACAAGTAAATACTCCTCCTCCACAAGTAAATACTCCTCCTCCACAAGTAAATACTCCTCCTCCACAAGTAAATGCTCCTCCTCCACAAGTAAATACTCCTCCTCCACAAGTAAATACTCCTCCTCCACAAGTAAATACTCCTCCTCCACAAGTAAATACTCCTCCTCCACAAGTAAATGCTCCTCCTCCACGTCTTCATTGTATTCACAGGAGTATTGACGAACTTGATCTGTCTAGCAGTGCTACGATAAACCTCTAGGAGATTACTTCCTTGATCTTACAATTATGTTAATCGTAAGTGCAACTCACGAATAACTGATTTAACCTCTGTCAGCAAATGTAATGGACAATTTTCCCAGAGCCATATTGTCTTCATTTTACCATTGTCTAGTTGAACTTAAAATCGTCTACTTTTAAATCTTTGACTATGATGATATCGACAGTTTTTCGTAAGTAGTGAAGCAATATCTAAAAAGTTTAATGTATGTAAAAGAGTATAACAGATAACTCAGGTCTTATGTAAACTATCACGGACACAATGAGGCACAGTGTTCTTGTAGAAGAAAATAAATTTACATTCAGCACTATACCGTCATATAAAACGTCAGTCAACTTAATTCTTATACATTCACGTTGGTAGCTCCTTTAATCTATGAAGGGTTGATTTTATCCTTAATTTGAAAAAGAAAATATTATTACAAAACAGCTTTTGGGTGGGTTTCATTGTGGTGTGAGGACATATCTTAGTTTGGTAACAAAGGATGAAATTAATTTATTATATTTATGAAAGGTGTGCTCGGTGCTGGCTAATGTGGTAGGATACCGTATTCATGACGTACCGCGGACTGGCCCTCCTCTTCCTACCCTCCTCTATTGTCCTGGCAGACTTACCGGAATTCAGCTTTATTGTTAGAAATTGCTTTGTTCGAATTAAAAGAACAGTGCTCTCAGGATCTCTTGTCAAATCATGCGTTGTGTTCAATAAAGCCAATTGGATGTTTTGTATTTTGTGTTATATTTTTAGCCTTCGTATAATAGTTTGTATACCGTTGAACTGTGTTGTGGGACCCGATAGTAGCTCTACGGTCGATCGTGAATCGTGATTATATCTCATAGTCTAAGAATAATATTTAGGAGTCTATTAAACAACCATTATTGAACATTATAACCATAAGAGCATTAGGGGTCATTCATAAAAAGCAAGTGAGGCACGGTTGACGCACATCAAATGAACGGTTGGCACACGGTTAATGCACAATGGTGGTTGATGCAGACATTGTTGACACGTAGTTCACACAAGGTCCTCACACGGTCACATAACCATGATAACACATGATTTATAAAACATTTTTGGCACACTACTGGAACATATTCCGGGGAAATGGACTCACTAACCGTTTCTAATTTGTCCTGGGAGCATCACTGTCTTAATATTATTTTATTCATTTTATTAATATTATTTTCGATCATACTGCCAGATAGGAACTGACCGGATATCCGGCTGAATCCGGTTCCGGCCGGATATCCGGCTTTAATGTCCGGTTCCGGTTTCGGTCCGGTTTGCAAGAATTTAGCCGGATATTTAACCGGAAATTTCTTTTTTAAATGTTTCTGAAATGTATTTTTGTCTAAATTCTTGCTAAGGGGCATCCAGTCAGTGCTCTTATAGTGACCAGTGAATTCCACGCCTCCACGGTCGCTTGTTATCTGTCAGCGAATGTTCAAGACCCGTTCATGTGAGATTTTGTGTATCAAAACAGCTATCATTTATGCTTTATCTGTGAGCATTTCAAGCAGAGGAACCCCTTATGTCAAGGATTAAAACAAATGCCATTATGCCATTAAAAACTTAGGACATTATCCTCGGTTACATCGACGCCACGAACTTATGAGAGCTGGCTGCTGGATCTTGGGCTTTACTTCTAAAGCAATTTGCACATTTGTGCTAGGAAAAGCGCAGTGAATTCTTGCAATGTGGGTTTTGATTTTATTCCAACTCGTTTCCAGCTCTGCTCATACAGCAGATCAATCAGTGACCTCTGCACTGCTCGCACAACATATCAACAAGTGACTGCTGTTCAAAGAGAAGAAAATTGGTTGAAATTTGAAGTAGGGCATGAACACAGTTAGTCGGACTGTAAACACTTTATCGTTGTGTCCACATGGCTTTTAATACATATTATAATTGATAAAAAACCCCCAATCAAGGATTAATCTCAATTTTCCGGCAATTTCCGGCAGCCTTAAATTTCTTCTTCTTATTACCCGGTTCCGGTCCGGCAACATATGCAGCAAACCGGAATATCCGGTCGTTTCCGGTCCGGCAGCCAAAACCATAGACCGGTCGGTTCCTACTGCCAGAGATGATTTGCAAAGCAACGGGATCATTACTATTAGGATTCTTAAAGGACAAACTGTTATATCATGTCAAGGATTTAGTACAGTAAGTCCATCATTGATACTGGCACTGGCAGCCGTTCAGTTTGCTTATCTTTGCATCATCATAATGCCGGTGAGGATCATTGGTCTTATGATAGCAATGATTTCATCGATTTACTCCTTTTTTTGTGACAAAATAGAGCGAACATTTTGATTCACGGCATGTAATCTAACAGGTAATTCAACGAAAGAGTGGAAACACCGCATACTCACTAGATTTAAGTATATACTCGCTATAATACATATATGACAGTCACGGGGCGTCAAACACTAAACAGTTTTGAACAATGAAGCCAATTACTTAATTAATCAATTAATAATCAATTACCTAAATAGCGAATACAATAAAATCGAAGAAAAAGTTAAATATCAATCTGAAAGATCACAAATGACGGCAGCTCATAAAGTACCACCCGCTAAAGTAATGTACGCGAACGGTGCGTTGAATATTAATTAAACTTATATTTTTCTACCCAGCAAGCAAATATAAAATGACATTTTAAAAGTTTAACCATCCTATTGTTGCGATAAAATATCTCATGTCTTTGAAGAGCATGCAGTGATAATACATACTTGTTTAAAGGCCATCAGATGTCACATTCAGCACGCTAGTACAAAATAAAACATCATTATCGCTTTTAGATCAGAAAATGAAGCACACACAGGACAGCTCTAATCTACTAATGAGCCATGGCATTGTTACGTCAGAAAGAACAACTGAGCGGTTTAACTTTATAAAATTTGCAAATAGCCTGGAAAAGAACAGCCCGGTTTTACGTGAAACATATACCGAGTGGTACACGTTGTGGAGGTGCGCGTATTACAGTGCCACTATCGGAGATGATTTTGTAGGCAAGACCACGTGACCGACCCCCACCAAGATGTTTAGCACACACGTGCTTCTTAACTGTGTGTCCTGGACAACTGTTTCCCAAGCAACTGTGTGTTGGTTGCCACAAGATTGGAGGAGGTTTATTGATCAAGGGGATGGTTGTCTAGAACAAATAGCCACCTCGTTGTGGATAAGAATGAAAGTAACAGTATGTTTTAACTTGCCCCGCTGGTATTGGTCGTCCTAAATACCGTCAGTGTTATGTTAACTGGTCATAACATCCTACCAGTTATCTTTCAAGGAAACGTGAATATGAAATAGAGACATACGTTACCATCATTGTTTCATGAAATTGAATGATTTATATTAGGATTTCCAGTTTAAGATTGAGTAAAATTGATAAAAGTTTTTATAATTTTAACTAAGTTTTCTCCGAGATTGAAATGCTTTTTTTACAGAGGAGGAATGTCATTCTTATTTCAAAAAATATTATCAGCTCTGATCTAATAAGGAAAATAGGCAAATTGATACAACAATTGAAGAATTAACACCTATATGTACATTTTAAGCATGGCACTATAACGATCTATTGAATCAAGACTGCACGCCTGATTTTACCCTTGAAAATGACAAAAGTTATCAAACACGTGTTCATAACAGGTACTACATTAATGGGCTGGTTTTTTATACAACACGAAAAACATTGATTAAATAAAGACAACAATTTACTTTCAATCACCTCCTTCTCCTCCTCGTTGTTTTACCTCTTACCTTTCTGGCTCAATTTCTTGTTTGGTGACTGAAACTAACTGCGATATTTACAGGCTTGATCCTGGTATGCTGCTTCAACTACGTCACAGCATGTAAGTGTTTGTGTGTTGATTATATTTCATTAAAATATTTTAAAGTTCGTCTTTAGAGACGTTTTTCCGACTTACCGTAGATTTTGAAACATTCCATTAGTCATCAGAGATACCTTATCGGCCCAAATGAGTAAATATTATACCAATTAAATTTTACAATTATTTCAATTGAAAAAAGTAATTCTGTGGTTTTAAAAAGAAAGCAGTTGTGTTTATTTTGGTAGTTATTCTCACTTCATATTCAGACGGTTTAGGTGGATTTACTCAAAAAGTGCCTGGAGTTACCAAGGACCCAGATGCGACGGCCAAACCAAAATGTGAGCTTCAAAACTCATTCTTTAAATTGTCTATTGTTTCAATATTGAAATGTGATTTTATTTAGGGAACACCGGAACCGTACCTCCTACGTCTAGTCGAGGCCTTGACAGTCTAAAATTAACAGAAAAAAAAGACTGTAAGCACAATTTGTCTTTCTTTCTTCCAGCTGCTGTCATTATTATCTTTACCATAAGCTGCATTTAATCTGCCCCGCAACAGTCTTTAAAGTTTCATACAGTCTCCGCCAATATTCATTAGAATGTACCTTGTGTTACCTCTTGAATTGCTTTAATATGTTAGAGATTATAAAAAAAGAAAACGCAATTTCTTGTAGGCCTTGAGGGTGGTCCAGTGGCGGTGATGTTCAGAGAACTCTCCTTTTCCAAGTATCTGGTATGGGTCGCAGCGGCCCTTCTGCTCGCTGGTATACTTCAGATACTCATAGGACTCTTCGTCTTCTTATCGGATGCCCTTGACATTTACATGCTGGTAAGTTAATTATTTCAGGGTTCATACTTATGTTTCCAGGTTAGGGTATGCGATCCAAGATCTAGTAGTACTATTTATTTGACACAAATATATATATTCTTGAGGTTAACTGAGAGGAAGGGCTCTGAAATTACTCAAAAGAATGGTTTTGAAAATGTCCCTTAAAGTAACTCCATAACTTATGGCAGGAGTAAATTATTGCTTTTGTAACTCCCTTATTTCAGCTGCTGAACTATTGTATAGCCACCCTGTTTTGTATCTGCACCATCTTGATAAGTGGGGGTGGAACCTTCGAACCATTACAGGTTAAAACAATATTACTCTGATTGCTAATCGTGTGTGGGGTATAGTTTAGTTTTTGTATTCAGTATTCACCGTACGATAAGTTTCGGACCACTTTGTTTCCGGAAATCTTTGATTTCTTTCAAAATTGAACTGATCCTGGGTCGAAAGTTATTTTCCTAACTTAATTAAAGTTTTCATGTATTTCAGAACACTTGTAAGTACCTCTCGCCGCTCAGCAGCATCGCTATTAGTGTACCCATGATGACACTCTTCCTTTTGAGTTACAGCCGATTCTATGCGATAACATACCCCTTTTACTACGTTGACAAATTCACTGTCATCAACCAGGTATCTTATAGCCCCAGTACAGCAAAACCCAGATGTACCGCTCCCCCATTTACCATAATCCCAGATTTACCGCTCCCCCATTTACCATAAACCCAGATTTACCGCTCCCCCATTTACCATAATCCCAGATTTACCGCTCCCCCATTTACCATAAACCCAGATTTACCGCTCCCCCATTTACCATAATCCCAGATTTACCGCTCCCCCATTTACCATAATCCCAGATTTACCGCTCCCCCATTTACCATAATCCCAGATTTACCGCTCCCCCATTTACCATAATCCCAGATTTACCGCTCCCCCATTTACCATAAACCCAGATTTACCGCTCCCCCATTTACCATAAACCCAGATTTACCGCTCCCCCATTTACCATAAACCCAGATTTACCGCTCCCCCATTTACCATAAACCCAGATTTACCGCTCCCCCATTTACCATAATCCCAGATTTACCGCTCCCCCATTTACCATAATCCCAGATTTACCGCTCCCCCATTTACCATAATCCCAGATTTACCGCTCCCCCATTTACCATAATCCCAGATTTACCGCTCCCCCATTTACCATAATCCCAGATTTACCGCTCCCCCATTTACCATAATCCCAGATTTACCGCTCCCCCATTTACCATAAACCCAGATTTACCGCTCCCCCCATTTACCATAAACCAAGATTTACCGCTCCCCCATTTACCATAAACCTAGATTTACCGCTCCCCCATTTACCATAAACCCAGATTTACCGCTCCCCCATTTACCATAATACCAGATTAACAGCTCTCCCATTTACCAAAAACCCAGATTTACCGCTCCCCCATTAACATAAACCCTGGTTTACTGCAGCTATTTCATTCCGCCAAATTAGGAATTAACATAATATAACTGTGAACAATCAAAACGCTGATTTACCGCCGCTTTTATCTGTCCCTTAATCTTCGCCATAAATCGGGTTTTACTGTATACCAATTAAATATTTCCTCTGGATGAGCCATTCGCACCTATCATTTTTTCATAAGGTAGCTCCAAATCTCTTCTCCTAAATATGTTTTCAGCATGGGAGGAAGGTGTAGTGTCAAATGCTAGATTGCCTCCATCTCCGATAGCATGTTCAGATCCGCCGATTTCTGACAAATGTGCTTAAAGATCAATTTTTGAGTTTTGGATTCTTTTATCTAAACTTCTTTTTTACTCAAAATCCATCCCGGAAAATCGTTAGAAACCATCAGAAACAATCGTCAGCTCCCAGAAACCACACTTTGGGAAGCCCCTAAGATCCTGAAATTGCCAAAAATGAGAAATTGTAATTTTAAACCTCGGATCTTTGAGTGCACTTTTGTCAGAAGACGGAAAAACTAAAATAATTACCCCACTTTATTTCAGCTGATTGTTTGTTTTCTGTCGTGGTTCATACCCATCATAGTGGTTGGTCTCGGCACCGCTTTTCTGTGTACCTCCATATCGGTACACACAGAAAAAGTGCTCACTGGTTTCTGTGTATACCCATCTCAACCCGTTTATGCCAGTTCACATCTCTGGTACAGCCAAAATAATGACACCAAGGTAATTTCCTCTTGATCAATTCTCATTTACCAGATGAAGTGATGAACGGCACTTTTATTTTTTATCATTTATTTATTACCAGATATGTAGTTTTATTTATTACCCGATATAGGAACATTGATTTAAACGAAACTTTTTTAAATTCTGAAAATTTGACAGGAATGGGGTTGGGGATATTTCTACGGTGGTTATATGGATGGTGACATCCCTGCAGATTCGGGCTGCCAGATCTACATGATCATATACGTGCTGATCTGCCTAATTCTGCCTCTGAGTGGCTGCATAGTCTGCTACTCTGCCATCGTGTACCAACTCACTATCATCAAGAAAAATAGAGAGGTTTGTTCGTTTAAACCTTTAGATCGTGTGTATACAACCATGACCGAAACTACGATACCTGGCCTCTGATGTTTATCTTTGTCAAATTTCATTCTGAATTTAATTTTAAAAGCTCATGATTTTTGGAATAAGTTCTCATTTTGGTCGTATTTGTATTTTACTCTTATCTTAGCTTTTAAACACGAGGGAGACACAAGTAACACGAAGCAGTATCGGTTTATACTTTATAAACAAGGATTTTTTTGAATAAAAATACTACTTAAAATTAAAATATATTTGATTTTCAGTCGTCGTCAACCGGTCATGTAAATATGCACCCATTGATTCCAACCTTCCTTTTCACTAATTGTGAAGTGTTAAAACACCACCACTGATTTTAGGTTAAATACACCACTGAACTAACTGAAGCTCTTATGATAGGCTCCTTCTGATAGCGATAAGAATCCTCATTGCGATAATTGTGATAATCATATTAAGTTTTAAGAATGTTAATTGATACCCTAATTGCTCAATAGTCCTACAGCCTTGATACCCTAATTGCTCAATTGTCAATTCGATGATTAACCACTAGCATTTTTATATGGACAAGCAGTTCTGATATAACGGTATTTTGAAATTCAGTGTGGTATACCGGTATATTTTGGAATGCATCGAATATTTGTCTTATAAAAAGCAAATCCGGTTCTAAGAAGAAAAACTAAAAAGAACCGGTCCGGTTAAAAAATTCAAATGCAGTCCGGTTCTGGTCCGACAAGAAAAGCTGATCCGGTCGCTTTCCTTTTTCTGGCGTGCAGTCTCCTATTTATTAGGAGTAATTCTATATTATAAAATTACTCCTATAATGAATAGGATACTACACCCCAGCTAGTATTAGTAAAATCCATCGCTTCTTCAAATTTTTCTAAAACTCGAAGCCTAACCCTTTTGAAAATATTTCTTAAGCTATACTCACGGTGCGCAACGTAAATGATAAAAAGTTAATAATTTATACACTAATTTTGTCTCAGATTTATATTTTCATGTTAATACAATTTCAGAAAATCACCAACTCCTCTACGGGGGGCGCTAACCCCGCGGACCAATTCGTGACGGTCAACGAGAGCCAATCCGTTCCTATGCGTTCCATGAAATCCAAAACCTTCAGCGTTGCAAGTCTCAAACAACACCTTAAGAAACAAACTAGTAAGTATTTAAGAGAAATTTAAGCGTGAGAGTCCTGTTTTTTCACATCTCCATGCCGTAGAGTCCTGTTTTGTACGTCGCCGCCGTAGAGTCCGGATCCCGAATGAAACATTAAAATTAAGAACTGAAGAATAGAATTTAAGAAACTTCTTGATCTTAGTCAGAACCTCATCGTTTCTCAGATATAGCTATTATAACAAGTGATAGGCTTAGTTGAGGTCCACAAACTTCAGATTGTGCATTGGTGACTTAAACTCGTTTTATGTATGCAACTGCTATCTTCCCTCAAGCTTTTTCCTAATAAAAATAATTTAAAGTTAAGTAAAAAGTTTTTTTTTTAAATGAGACGTTAGCTATAACCTTATAGAAACTAAAACAACTGAAATAGCGTACAACCAAACCAATGCCCACTACTAATACAAGTTACAAAATGTATTGTACCCTTTTACCAAGGGTTCACCTTTTAATCCTGTATTTATTCACAATACATCTGCATCCATGATTATTTTCAAACATTAGCTGTATTGACTATTTCAGGTAATATTTCTCAAAAGGCAAAAGAGAGGGTGCCAGTGTCCGTGATCCTTATCTTGACGCTATACATCTTTGTTGCGGTGCCTTTAACAATTGTGGAGGTTTACAATACATCTCTTGTCGGTGGTTAGTACCAATGTTTTGATTTTAAATGTCAATTAGTTTGCAAACAAACGAAACGTTGCAGTGACAAAAAGAGCGTTAGATATTTTGAAGTACTATTTCATCTTTAATTATGGTATACACAACTTAGTCATCAGCCCTTTTACTGAAGTGAAGAAATAAATCAGAAATAAATATCGTATAAATCGATTATACCGTGAAACGGGCGATTGAAGGATTGAGTGGAATATACTATGCATACTAAACACTATAATACAGGCATGACACTTAAGGTTCACCTCCAGTCTCCGCGATTTAAAATACCGTCATTTTCCAGGCAATACATCAGTGGCTAAGTTGGTCTGGAAAAATCTTGATGAAGCAAAGTTGACCTCGTTGAGGGAGGATGAAAAGAAAAATATATGGTGCGATGACAAAATTAAGGACTCCCCCACATTTACACAGGATTGGGTGACCACGTTCTTAGACATAGGCTACTCGGTCGGCTTACTCGCATTAGGTCTTTCCCCGTGGGCTTACATAAAATTCACAAAGTCGTTCGAGGAGAACTTGTGGCTAAGGCCACTGAAGAAGATATCAGGTAAAATAGGCCTGGAGATAAGTAAATCAGTTAGGAACAAATTTGCTAGTCCAGGACATGCCAAACCGGTCACTAAGTCCAACCCTAACTACTCTGCAAATGGAACTACATCTGGCTATTCTTCTGGATTGTGCTCAGCTGCTCCACCGACCGCCAGGTATGTTAACAAGTATGTTAACAAGTATGTTAACGGCTCTTCAAACAATCAAGGCAATCTATCTCAAAATTCGATTAGAGCTCCAGCACATGATTTTTAAAAACCCGTTAGCCTTGTTGCATATTCAAATTTGCTAATATCTGTTAGTTCGTTTTTCAATGAGAATCATGTGAGCAAATAATAAGGATCTTATAGCTGCACAAAATTGTATTTTTTCTGCTCATTAAACTTTTCTCAAGGAATGCTCCACCAAGTCCACGACCTCAAAAAAGACCTATAACACCTCAACCCCCCGGGCGTACATCGACAGCCGGGGTACCTCCCCCACAACCATCTCCTCGTGCATCTCCTCGTGCATCTCCTAATGTGGGTAAAAACCCGCCCGACCCTGTAACAGTAGAAGTAAACCCACCGCGACAGAGTCTTACAGCCCCGGATGTTGACCCAGCGACTGGAAGGCCTAGACGTCGCTGCAGATCACGGAACCCATCTGCTGAAAACCCAACCACAGACCAAACAGATGCTGCTCCAGATAACAACAATAATATCTAGAATTTGTGAGTTACTTTAATTTTATTATATAGTGAAATCCAGAGTTTAACAAGAAATGCGGCCGCTTTTCTTTTGTGGATGGCCGCTCAATTTCCCGATCCGGGATGAAGTATTCTATCATATTCCATACCAGTACAGTACCACCTGGGGACCCCAGTCTTTGCTGTTTATAAGCATGCAGATATGGCGGAGTGACAGGCCGAGCGCCGCCCAGTTGATATAATTCTATATTGAATTTGAAAATCGTGTATATTTCTATGTAACTATATGTTTATTGTTTATGCAACCTGACACGGATCTGTGCAAAATAGTAATACTAACTCAAAATAATAATACAATGCTATCAATTAGTCCCTATCCACTATCGGGATGCGTACGGCAAGTTTCCATAACTACTTTTTTGTGATCAGCGGTAATAACCGCTTTTTTTACGCTAAAAAAGCGCTTATTGATAAAACCCACCGTTATTTGGCGATTATAAAGCGATTATAAACGGTCCCGTTAATAAACGATTAAAAACGATTATAATCGCTTTTTCCATAAAATATTTTTGCAAAAGCGATTATTAGCGCTTTAAAAGCGACAATAAATCGCGAATTAAAATTATTAGTGATAAAAAAACGCTTTTATTTTAGGGTTGTCGATTATTATCGCTCCGTAAGCGCTTTTCAAAAAAACGCTTATAAACCGTTTTTTGGACCGTTTTTAAAACGCTTTTAATCGACTATAAGCGATTATATTCACTAGGGAAAGTTCCAAATTAAAAAGCGCCTACTAATCGTTAAAAAAACGCTTTTTTATTTTAAGTTAATAAGCGGTTTAAATCGATTATAAAACGATTATAAGCGACAATAAGCGATTTTTTGAAATCTGCTAAAAAGCGATATTTTCACTATGATCAGCGCTTATAACCGCTTTTCTTGAAATTTTCCTACTGAAAAGCGTTTATAAGCGCTTATGAGACAAGGAGACAAGGACAAGGAGACAAGGAGACATGGAGACAATGAGACAAGGAGACAAGGACAAGGAGACAAAGACAATGAAACAAGGACAATGACAAGGACACAAGGACACAAGGACACAAGGACACAAGGACACAAGGACACAAGGACACAAGGACACAAGGATACAAATAGACAAGGGCAAGGACACAAGGAGACAAGGAGACAAGGAGACAAGGACACAAGGACACAAGGACACAAGGACACAAGGACACAAGGACACAAGGACACAAGGACACAAGGACACAAGGACACAAGGATACAATGAGACAAGGAGACACGGAGACAAGGAGACAAGGACACAAGGGGACAAGGACACAAGGACACAAGGAGACAAGGAGACAAGGAGACAAGGAGACAAGGAGACAAGGACACAAGGACACAAGGAGACAAGGACACAAGGAGACAAGGAGACAATGAAACAAGGAGACAAGGAGAAGGAAAAGGAAATCAAATGAGGTTATTCTCTTGCCGACACATGAACACAAAGTGCACATCTCTCAGTAACACTTCTACTAATACTTATAGCTATAATCTATATAGAACTAGTAACATGGTCGCCTTTCATCCGTTTACGAATACGTTTATGATACCGCGTGTTTCAAGATTTTCCGTGAGGCCGGGATTGAAACTGATTACGCGTACGATTTATTTAACTAGCAAGCCGTCGGCTAGAGAATAACAACAATTTGATATGATACTCCGTCTCCGTCTCCGTCTCCGTCTCCGTCTCCGTCTCCGTCTCCGTCTCCTTTTTGAATTCGATTGTTTAGGGCTAGGGCGCGGCTCAAGTTAGGGTTGTGGTAAGGGTATCGGATAGCTTCGTCTCCGTCTCCGTCTCCGTCTCCGTCTCCGTCTCCGCCCCCGTATCCGTCTCCGTATCCGTCTCCTCCTCCTTTTCCTTTTTTAAATTCGATTGTTTAGGGCTAGGGCTCGGGTTAGGGTTGTGGTAAGGGTATCGGATAACTTCGGGATTATATATTATGGTTGTTAGGGTTGGGATTAGGGTTTATGTAAAACCGTTTTGTACGGCTGCAAAACTATAAAAACCTTGTATCACGTCGTGACCCCCATCGTTACCTGGGGACCCCAGGCTATTATGTTTCATAAAGAATAAAGATTCGGTGGAATGACAGGCTGAGCGCCGCCCAGTAACCCCCATCGCCGTTTTACTTTACCCCTGTAGAGTTTCTACGATACAGGGGAGCCGCGCACCTGTGCGCGGCGGGTCATACAACGTATGACAATAAAAACCAAAGTCACATGAAATTTTTGGGCGAGCAAATTAGCGAATTAATAAAAGCCAGTTCGGCAAGGCCCAATAGTGCATTTTGCTGCGATCTACGTGGTTGTGAGAAGAATTATTTGATGCGCGGCGCAGTCCAGTCTAGTAGTGCATCGCTCTACAAGTAATTGTTCTACTTTATTGTATATCTAGGTAGTGCGTCATCGACAGTGAGCCGCACGTGCCGACTGTAGGATGGTTTTTTAGCGCTAATTTCGGCCAGCACAATTTTCTTCAAACAAATACCCAGGAACCCTGACCGGATGGGGCTTAACTTTGAAAGTAAAAGAGTTGGAGACTTCCGGTTTTTTGTAACATGTTCCTCTTTTAAAAATAACGTTACCTCTCCAGGAGGAAAATTCAAGACAACGTAATTGTTGAGTTATCTCAAAATCTCCAGAAAAGTCCCCTTTCGGGCCGATCAAAAGTTTGCAACTTTAACTTTGCGGATTCCTGTACTCTGGTTGGCTGAATTGTGTCACGTGGTAGCTGCCTGAACATTGGAATGCGCCACGCGTGCAAATCATGCTTGTTGTCGCGCGCGAGGTCAAGCCGTCTGTTTAAATTAAACCAACTCTAGTACCACCACCAGCCGGTAACTTTTCCTGGGTAGATATTAAGTATCCTTCCCGACCTCCGATTGCAACAAAAATTGGTAATCTTACTCATAGACTTACAAGGAAAGTGTCCGAAAAGTTTAAAGCATATCCAACCATCAGACATTATGTTACAGCTAAAAGCAGCGTATTTTGCCCCATTTTGATCACTATATCAACTCCAATATCCACCAAATTTTTCGGACAGTTGTGAAAGCCCTATTGGAAGGTCGTCGCCAATTTTCAGAATGATTTCATGCAAGGAACTGAAGATATATCCAAATAATACGACAAAAATCAACGAATTTGGTCAAATTTGGTCAAATTACGCGACTTTTACAGCTAATTTTGCTCCAAAAGCCGCGCACCATCAAATATGGCACCTAGGCGAAACTCACTGATCTTTCCAAAAAGGTATGTAATGACAAATTTGGTATTGTGAAAATTCTCACAGTCTCTAGAAAACAATGGTACAAACATTTTTAAAATCCGAGCAAGTTTATTTTTATGGTGCACCCCCTAGTCACTAGTATATCCCAGAGTGGTGTTTGGCAATTAGAAAAATTGATCGTGCGTGGTTTAACCGCGGCAAAATTTTTGTTGAAATTCTTGTTAAAATTCTGCACGCCTAATATAAACAATTATAACGTGCGTCTTACCTGGGGACCTCAGGCTATTATGTTCATAATAGAGATTCGGCGGAATGACAGGCTGAGCGCCGCCCAGTAACGTGCGTCAAATACCACTCTGGGATACAATAAAGTAGAACTAGAACAATTACTTGTAGCGCGATGCACTACTGGGCTGCGCCGCGCATCAAATAATCCTTCTCGCAACCACGTAGATTGCGGCAAAATGCCGAGCTGGCTTTTACTAATTCGCTCGCCCAAAAATTTCATGTGACTTTGGTTTTATTGTCATACGTTGTATGACCCGCCGCGCACAATTGCGCAGCTCCCCCTGTATCGTAGAAACTCTACAGGGGTATAATGAAACAACGATGGGGGTACAAGGTTTTTATAGTTTTGCAGCCGTAAAAAACGGTTTTACATAAACCCTAATCACAGGAGGAGCAATGCGTGGGCGCGATTGCAGCAGTTAGTGCCCGTTTGTAGCAGTCAGTGCCCGTTTGTAGCAGTTAGTGCCAGTTTGTGGCAGTAAGAGCCAGTTTGTAGCAGTTAGTAGCAGTTTGTAGCAGTTTGTGGCAGTTTCTTTGCACTTTGCTCCTCCTGCGTAATCCCAACCCTAACGACCATAATATATAACCCCGAAGCTATCCGATACCCTTACCACAACCCTAATTCCCGAGCCCTAGCCCTAAATAATCGAATTCAAAAAGGAAAAGGAAAAGGAGAAGGAGAAGGAGACGGAGATGGAGACGGAGACGGAGACGGAGACGGAGACGGAGACGGAGACGGAGACGGAGACGGAGACGGAGACGGAGACGGAGACGGAGACGGAGACGGAGACGGAGACGGAGACGGAGACGGAGACGTTACCTGGGGACCTCCGGCTATCGCGTAATTTTTGTTGTTAATTGTGTCCTCGTTCAAAATACGTAAAGAATTAAGCGCTTATAATCGTTTATAATCGCTTATATACCCCGCTTACATAATCGCTTATATACCCCAAATAAATCAAATCAAAACATATTTTGATCATAGTTTTAAAATGCGTCAAAAAGCGCTTTTCATCGTTTATAATCGCTTATAAGCGACAATTGAAGACAATAACATTTACGATACTTTATAATCACTTATAATCGCTTATAATATCTCGTACCTGACAATTTTTTCCTCGTTTCAAATACTTAAAAAAGCGCTTATAATCGTTTATAATCGCTTATAGACAGCAAATAAATAAGCGCTTATAAACGCTTTTCAGTAGGAAAATTTCAAGAAAAGCGGTTATAAGCGCTGATCATAGTGAAAATATCGCTTTTTAGCAGATTTCAAAAAATCGCTTATTGTCGCTTATAATCGTTTTATAATCGATTTAAACCGCTTATTAACTTAAAATAAAAAAGCGTTTTTTTAACGATTAGTAGGCGCTTTTTAATTTGGAACTTTCCCTAGTGAATATAATCGCTTATAGTCGATTAAAAGCGTTTTAAAAACGGTCCAAAAAACGGTTTATAAGCGTTTTTTTGAAAAGCGCTTACGGAGCGATAATAATCGACAACCCTAAAATAAAAGCGTTTTTTTATCACTAATAATTTTAATTCGCGATTTATTGTCGCTTTTAAAGCGCTAATAATCGCTTTTGCAAAAATATTTTATGGAAAAAGCGATTATAATCGTTTTTAATCGTTTATTAACGGGACCGTTTATAATCGCTTTATAATCGCCAAATAACGGTGGGTTTTATCAATAAGCGCTTTTTTAGCGTAAAAAAAGCGGTTATTACCGCTGATCACAAAAAATTAGTTATGGAAACTTGCCATGCGTACATGGTAAAATTAACAATGTACTTGAACATTTCAGCACCGCGCGCCAACAATTGTTTAATTCAGATGATCGCGCAAAATAACTTTGCGCAGGCAGACACGTGGGCGATAACTAGACTGGGGGCGAGGGCACGCACGCACGCACGCACGCACGGTCGCAAAGCTACCATATACAAAAATAACCTCGATCGCTAACCCTTGTCCTTGACTCTTTTGTGCCTTCGGCACTTTGAGTCATGGATCGGGAAAAAATATTCTGCATTTTATAAGGTCGATTTCGATGGTAATCAAAAGAGTATTAGTGTCAAACAGTATATATACAATAAAGTAATTCAAGTGTTGCAATTGGCAGAGCACAATACAGAGGTAACGGAAATTGTCCACTGCTACCAATATTATATAATATGAAATATCAACAATCAGATATATACACATCTACTCCATCATAGGGGCAGTGATGAGGTTATAAGAGACATTCTGATAGTGGTGTCTCATATTTGCTGTCCATTTTTTTTCCTCTGTACCCTCGTAGAGCTATGAGTGTGGTTCTTAACATAGCGAATCTTATTCTTGTCCTTACATGTCTTACCAAATCGCAATACCTCTCTTTTCTTTTCCTGGCGATGAGGTCTGCCACTCTATTTAGAAACCGCTTACATTCTTTGGACATGCCTCCAGTTGTGAGAAATACGGCTGGGGTGAAAGTGGCCTTCTCTACGTTCAACACTCTCTCCAAGTACTCATCCTTCTTCTCCTTTTCGTTCTCTTCGTATACTTCTTGAAGAGTTTTGGTCCTGTTTGATAAGCAATTGGGGTGTGAAACCCTTATGTCAAGAAAGGTCTTATCAAATGGAGTCCAAACTCCTCTAGCAGATACGTCAAGCCGAGCTTGGTCACCTGTTATAGTCTTGGGGTTGAGGCAGTCACCCTCATTTACCTTCTGTAGCTGGGGTTCGACTTTCACATCATGACATACCTCACGAAGGAGATTTGCTAATGTGTCTCTGATGTTGTTGTGGGTCATTATCACATAACCCCCTAGCTTACAGGTGAGAAGGTGGTCAAGATCACTTGTTTTCCCACATCCACAGGTGATGGGAGTGTTTGGTATCCACCAGCTGTAGCGTAAGCAGACACTGTCACGAAACTCCTCTTTGTTCAGAGTGTAGCCATACTGCTGAAGTGGCAATGTGTTAAGCCAACTGGACGCTCCCTTTTCTCTTGCTGCTAGTAGTGCTCTCTTAGAGGAGGTGCCACATCTTTCAGCTATAGCGTTAAACTTGGCTTGGAGCTCGGAATTCTTCAAATTTTTTATCATTACTTTCCCTGATTTGGTGAGGTTACTGGATGCAGTGTAAACTTCCTGTTGGTCCACTATTGCCTTTGTGAGCTCGGTGGTGAGTAGCTTGGAAGCTGTGTACTCAGACTGGCATTCCTCGTGGGGTTTACCAATGCCCAATCCTCCTAATATTATTGGTAGAATTAACACGTCCCTCTCTAAGTCTGAAATCTCCCTGCCCAGCATCTTTGGCAGAAGCTTTTGTCTTATTTCATGTTCTAGCGGCTCTTCAGAGATATGAGGAACAGTCCTTTGAACAAACTTCCATCGGTGTTGTATGCCAGAGATGTAGGCTGAATAGGCTGCTTGAGGCTCAGATTCTGCAATATCAGCTAGCATCTTGATGTCTTCGCACCACCCTTGGACCTTATCGGCAATGTACTGATCTTTGACACCTGTATTGCCAAGTACTGCACCAAGATGCCTTGTGCCTGATGTTATTTGCATATTGAACTCTCCAACAATGCCTTGGCCTGGTCGATCATCTGAGGGTCCTTCACTACTAGAATGCTTTTAGATGGGTTAGGAAAATAACCATACTTAGGTCCAACTTGGAGCAACTCCTTCCACCACTTATACACTGCCTCCAATTTCCCTCCAGCAGCACTATCATCGGCAATTTCGATGGTAATTGGTATAAGCTCTGTAAGCGAGCTTTATGGATGGACAAATATCACCCACTACAACTTTCTGGGCCAGCACGGAAGTACACTTGCTGGTTGAGCTTTGTAATACACGGTTCACATTGGGTTGCCGCTGAGAGACTGAAGTTGTGAATAGTGATTAAAACACTGACATTTTATGTTAATAAATCACCCTCCTTCAGTGCACCCTCCTACAGTGCACCGTTACAGTGCACCCTCCTACAGTGCACCGTTACAGTGCACCCTCCTACAGTGCACCGTTACAGTGCACCGTTACTACAGTGCACCCTCCTACAGTGCACCGTTACTACAGTGCACCCTCCTACAGTGCACCCTCCTACAGTGCACCGTTACTACAGTGCACCGTTACTACAGTGCACCCTCCTACAGTGCACCATCCTACAGTGCACCCTCCTACAGTGCACCGTTACTACAGTGCACCCTCCTACAGTGCACCCTCCTACAGTGCACCATCCTACAGTGCACCCTCCTACAGTGCACCGTTACTACAGTGCACTCTCCTACAATGCACCCTCCTACAGTGCACCGTTACTACAGTGCACCCTCCTGCAGTGCACCGTTACTACAGTGCACCGTTACTACAGTGAACCGTTACTACAGTGCACCGTTACTACAGTCCACCCTCCTACAGTGCACCGTTACAGTGCACCCTCCTACAGTGCACTCTCCTACAGTGCACCCTCCTACAGTGTACCATTACTACAGTGCACCCTCCTACAGTGCACTCTCCTACAGTGCACCGTTACTACAGTGCACCGTTACAGTGCACCCTCCTACAGTGCACTCTCCTACAGTGCACCCTCCTACAGTGTACCATTACTACAGTGCACCCTCCTACAGTGCACCCTCCTACAGTGTACCATTACTACAGTGCACCCTCCTACAGTGCACTCTCCTACAGTGCACCGTTACTACAGTGCACCGTTACTACAGTGCACCGTTACTACAGTGCACCGTTACTACAGTGCACCGTTACTACAGTGCACCGTTACTACAGTGCACCGTTATTACAGTGCACCGTTACTACAGTCCACCCTCCTACAGTGCACCGTTACAGTGCACCCTCCTACAGTGCACCCTCCTACAGTGTACCATTACTACAGTGCACCCTCCTACAGTGCACTCTCCTACAGTGCACCGTTACTACAGTGCACCGTTACTACAGTGCACCGTTACAGTGCACCCTCCTACAGTGCACTCTCCTACAGTGCACCCTCCTACAGTGTACCATTACTACAGTGCACCCTCCTACAGTGCACCCTCCTACAGTGTACCATTACTACAGTGCACCCTCCTACAGTGCACTCTCCTACAGTGCACCGTTACTACAGTGCACCGTTACTACAGTGCACCGTTACTACAGTGCACCATCCTACAGTGCACCGTTACTACAGTCCACCCTCCTACAGTGCACCCTCCTACAGTGCACCCTCCTACAGTGCACTCTCCTACAGTGCACCCTCCTACAGTGCACCCTCCTACAGTACACCGTTACAGTGCACCCTCATACAGTGCGCCGTTACGGGTTATTATTGAAAAGAAAATCAGAAATACAGAACTGTGGCGCATCATTTTTCTGAAGCATAACGTTTCCCTTGACTCTCAATAACTACGAAATTTATTTGGGCTTTATTTGGAATTCATCACTGAACTCGTCCGCCAAATAAGTGGGGTTAATTGTACTTATCGCAACGCATAACTATCTTTAGTTTTCCTTACTATTTATTGCAGTCATTAATCCATTAATTATGCAGAATATTTGCTGAACTATTGGCGCAGTCTAACCTATAAAATCAGCCAGTGTAGTATGTACTTGAAAATATACCAGGAACTCAATGTTTATACAAACACTGCACCACGCTGAAAACACAACTTTAGGTTCTGAGTAAAGTTGCTATTTTGTGGCTTTTAATTACCGTAGAGCCAAAGCAGTTAGAAGTAGACTACAGGTCATGCGGTATGTGGATCTGGATGGTTTGGTTGATGATCGTGTTTGCCAAATGTTCGGTTGTCGGGGTGGTGTATAATAGTTCTGGTTGTTTAGTTGTTATTCTGTAAAAGCTCATTATATACCGTGCTGCTATCTATATCCTGCATGGTTCGGTTCTGATGTTGGGAAATTGATGATACCTGGTTATTTAGTTGTCTTTATAATTTTGTAAGTACCCAGCACTGTAATTGTATATATATTGTATATATTGACTATATTGGCTTGTGTATAACGGTTGATTACAAAAAATGGAGTGTTTTGCATTGACTATCAGTATTTCTGTTCAAAATTGTCCAAATTTTAACACTGTTTCATTGATTTTGACCACAAATGAATTGATCGACCCGATAAAGGGATCTGAACAAAATTCCATTTTTTTTGTAATCACCCATGTATATATTGGCGATAAGCGTTTGGAAGTTATTGACAATTACTTAGCTTAAAACTAAACTAGCAATTGTATATTATGTTGAATATAATACATCTACATATTATCGCCTCTTTATTTGAGCGTAATAAGTTATACCTTAATTTAATTATGTTTTGATTTCAAGAAAAAGTTAACAATCTTCACTTCAGGTGGCTCTCAATACGAGTTTCAGTTTGTTTTCCAAGTAAGTTTCTAACGAGTCAATCCTTTCGATTTTACTTGATCACAGTGCCTTCAGCTATTGGCTAGCTAGGGTGTTTTGATATATAATCAATAATTTTAATACTTTGATAAGTTATAGATTGATTACTAACCGTCTGCTAGACGGCTTTTAACTTTCAGTACAAAATTACTACTAACTAGACTGACTATAGATCAAACAAATACTAACGCTTCAAGAACAGTCACAGTCTAGATTTAGTTTAGCTTTAACTCGGATTTGAACTGACGGCAGTACTGTCTGAAGCTAGAGGATATTCTGAAGTACCTGTTAGTATTTCTGTGTCTTATTATAACCACTTCCCTACCTCAGTTTTTCTCGAAGATGTAAATTACTGGCCACGGATGAGGTTGAAGGTGTTCGTTACAGATGGGATAGCCGAGTTCCCGCAACGCAACTTTAACAATGTGTGGACATATTAGGATACAGAATATGAGATGTAATCATAATGTTACCATCTTTCAAACACCGCTTCATTGGCTCTACCCTTTACTTAGTCTTCTTTGCGACCCTGTTTCTGACTTGATTTTGCGACTAGATATATGGATTTTTATCTGTCGAGACGTTTTGAGCGATGTGATTCAAAGGATTCGATTCACAGTCGTGGTATTAATTTGAATTAAGTAGGAGCGATTTGAATTACATGTTTATTTTTCAACTTGAGGGGTTATTTGTTTGAATAATTGTTGTCGTGGAATCAAGTAATAGGGACTTCGGCATTTATAAGTTTAGTCAGTTTACAACCTTCAACTTGGAGTTATCTTTAGATTTAAAATAAAGTTTAATAACACTAACAGTTCAAAATGAAGATTTTTTCCATCTAGATATAGTTCTACCTTTTTTTCTTTCTTTTTTTTAATTAGAAGGGGATTTAGGCTTCTCTTTTGTCATACACGCACATTTTGACGAAACATTTTGTTTTCTTCTGTGATATTGTTGATTTCTAACTGTTAAGCTGTATTCAACTTTTTCATTTTGTCTTGATTTCAAGTTTCAACCTTCCCCGTATATACTGGTCCACCAATACTGTTTCACGACTCACGTGGGGAACTGTATTGTCTTTGGAATATACTGCGCTCCTTTTTTATTTTATGCCTGTACCCAATGGTAATACAAATTGTAGGTTTATAACCTACCACTACCAGGACGTGCGCCGAGTTGGACTCGTCGACGGTCCTAATATTTGAAACAAACATTTTACGAGTATCACCCGTTAAATGAAATATGTCTATAACTTCCTTGATTATGCACTAAGTTGGCATTCTCCGACCAAAATTGAACGGGAAATCGTTTTAGATCACTTTCGAGGCACCTCGACAAAAGCTACTCACGCTATTGTGCTCTTTATGGAGAAATACGTCAGTAACGTTTTTGAGCAATGAGCTTGTTATTCTCTTTCAAAAGTATTCCTAGTCATTTGTATAAGTGCATATATTAACTCTGAATATATTGCAAAATAATTTATCTCGATTCATGAAGTTTGAAAGAAGTTACAGCAATGCGCGCAATTTGGGGAGTGTGCTTTTGGCGGAGATTTACTGTTTACTGGAGCTGGGCCGCGCTCAGCCTGTCATTCCACCGAATCTCTATTCGTTCATGAACATGATAATAGCCTGAGGTCCCTATTATGTTGTAAATAGGGAAACACGTACTTGTGATTGAATTCAATTGCCGTAGAACTAGCCATGTGTTAATTTTCTGGATTCGTTTATTCATTATTATTGATGCGTGGCGCTACATTGGTCAAACAAATTTTTTCCTGATCCATGACTCGTGCCGAAGCACGACGGCACAAAAGAGTCAAAGACAAGGGTTAGCGATCGAGTTTTTTTTGTATATGGTAGCTTTGCGACCGTGCCTGCGAGCGTGCGTGCGTACGTGCCTGCGAGCACTGTTATCGCCCACGTGACTACCTGCGCAAAGTTATTTTGCGTGATAATCTGAATTATATAATTGTTGGCGCGCGGCGCTGATCCAACCAAGTACATTATTAATTCCATCATGTACGTATCCAACTAGGCACTAATTGATAGCATATTATTATTATTTTGAGTTAGTATTACTATTTTGCACAGATCCGTGTCAGGTTGCATAAACAATAAACATATGGTTACATAGAAGTGTACACGATTTTCAAATTCAATATAAAATTATATTAGCTGGGCGGCGCTCGGCAGTCGGCATGTCACTTCGCCATATAATATTTGCATGTTTATATGAGAGTTGGGTTACATCTTGGTGACAGGGCCGTCCCCAGGTTGTATGGAATATGATAAATACGCCATCACGGATCGGGAAATTGAGCGGCCATCCACAAAAGAAAAGCGGCCGCATTTCTTGTTATCATGCGCGAATCCCACTCATTTATTAAAAACATAGTATGTAAATACGTTTTATTTTTTCCAGTCACACTTTTCACTCGAAAGAATTAATGGTACTTAAATTAATGGTTAGTACATCGTAGGGAAAATTAATCGTGCGTGGTTTATATTATATTTTGTTTTTATTTGTAATTTAAGAAATTGTTTGTAGCGCGATGCGTTACTGTGCCGCGCCCGCACACTCAATGAGGCTTCTCACGCTAGATCGGCGAGATGCGCTTCTGTGCCGCACCGAGCTGCAATGAATTGACATCGTCAATTAAAGAAATTTTAAGCAAAAAGTGAACTATACTCATGTTTTATAATTCATAATTGTACACATCAGTGCACTATATAATAATAATACTAGATACTACGCATGTCACATACAAATCGGGCTTATTGCCTAATTGCTAATACATTTAAATACACTCGCGCCGCGCATACACTAGGCCATGCGCCATCGACCGTTAGACGCGTGCACTAACCATTGAATGGTTTTTAGCTCGTATGTCGTATTTCGGCCAGCACATTATTTCGGAAACAATAAAAAAAGTTACAATACGTGAAGTTGATCCCATATAACAATTTTGTTGAAATTTGGTCAGCTTATGTTGTATCACGTTGCAACCCCCACAGTCGTTTCACTTTATCGTCCTGACGATACAGGGGGAGCCGCGCACTTCGTGCGCGGCGGGTCATATAACAACGTATGACAAAGTTTACGTAAACACTAATGTTTTACTGAACCTAAATTAGTTTGAGCAATTTCGATGCATGGTCAGAATTTGAGCTATCTATCAACGAATTTATGCCTATTTTGTCATTTTTAGACCTCTTAATCAAGACCAATCTCTCCCAACTAATTTAGTTTCGGCGTAGTTAACTGTTAAATATGATTAGAAGGTTTTGACAAATTTTCAGCATGATTCATGTTCAGGAACCGAAGATATAACAAAATAATACAACAAAAATCAAAAAATTTTGTCAAATTACGTGACTTTTACACCTAATTTTGCTCCAAAAGCCGCGCAACATCAAATATGCATATGGCACATTGGCACCTAGGCGAAACTCACTGATCATTCCAAAAAGGTATAACAAATTTGGTACTGCGAAAATTCTCATATAAGTGTTTAGGCGACCTCGTCTTGCGACTGGACAGCAATGTGCTTGTACCAGCCCTAATTGGATATTTCGTCATCAGTCATACGATTTGATACCCAGCAAAATTTACTGGCTGACGGTGTTACTAGAGGTGGTTTAATTTAAACAAACGGCTTGACCTCGCGCGCGACATTAAGTGATTTGCACGCGTGCCAGAATTCCAATCTTCAAGCAGCCAGCACGTGACACAATTCAGCCAATCAGAGGACAGGAATCCGCAAAGTTAAAGTTGCAAACTTTTGATCGGCCCAAAATTAGACTTTTCTGGAGATTTTGAGATAACTCAACATGAACAACTACGTTGTCTTAAATTTTCCTCCTGGAGAGGTAACCTTAGTTTTACGAAACGAATATTTTGTTGAAAACCATGAGACGTTTGTATCTCTTATATTTTTTCCCGATCCATGACTCAAGTGCCGAAGGCACAAAAGAGTCAAGGACAAGGGTTAGCGATCGAGGTTTTTTTTGGGATATGGTAGCTTTGCGACCGTACCTGCGTGCGAGCGTGCGTGTCTGCGTACGTTTCGCCCACGTGTCTGCCTGCGCAAAGTTATTTTGCGCGAAAATCTGAATTAAACAATTGTTGGCGCGCGGTGCTGAAATGTTCAAGTACATTGTTAATTTCATCATGTACGCATCCCGCTAGGGACTAATTGATAGCATATTATTATTATTTTGAGTTAGTATTACTATTTTGCACAGATCCGTGTCAGGTTGCATAAACAATAAACATATGGTTACATAGAAATATACACGATTTTCAAATTAAATATGGAATCATATCAACTGGGCGGCGCTCGGCCTGTCACTCCGCCATATCTGCATGCTTATAAACAGTAAAGACTGGGGTCCACAGGTGGTATGGAATATGATCAAATACTCCATCACGGATCGGGAAATTGAGCGGCCATCCACAAAAGAAAAGCGGCCGCATTTCTTGTTGAAGTTAGGCCCCTACCAGTAAGGTATTCTGGGAAGTCCTCCAAAATGACAACGTATTCATTTTCAGATCACCCACCTACCGCTATCTTCAAAATCCACGTTTTTCTGCATAAACGACCATTCGTAACCTTTTTGTCATACGTTGTATGACCCGCCGCGCACTCGTGCGCGGCTTCCCCTGTATCGTAGAAACTCACTAAAGTGAAGCGACAGTGGGGGTCACCACGTGATACAATAACCTTTCACTATTAGTATTGTCTCTTTGCAAAAGAGTGTGAATGGAAAAAAAATCATATATAATCATCATAGTTTATTAACTCAAACGTAAAAAGTGTAACAAAGGCAAAATTTAATCATTTAAAATTTGTAGCATGTAATTAATTATGGATGGGGTACAACTCACGCGTTGCTAGTTGTCATGGTAACCGGCGCTACTAATTCACTCGCCATCAATTTCACGAAAAGAGCGATATTTGAATTTCGCATTGGATAAGCGTCTAAATAAACCGCGTGGCGCGTGTCTGCGATAAATCTTTTCTTGTCAAATCGATATCTTCTCTTATTCGATACAAATTTTAACTAGTGATTTTCTGATACTCCACGAACATCTATGAGTGTTGCTTCTGTTCCCGAAAGGTTGAGTTAAGCTTTCAATCCTTTGTTAATTTTTTGTTCAATTTGTAAGGTTAAAACTCTTTCAGGTCCGATTTCCGAATAGTCTGGTGTCCAAAAGAACTCTAATTGTTCAAGGAGTTAAATTTATTCGGTGTGGGAAAACAGGTCAGTGCTAATTGCTGATCACCAGTCATTTGATTTGTCATGTCATAAAGTCATACGCTTCTTTTCCTTTTTGCATGGTTTTAATGCCAGCTTGATTACAATTGTCATCTGTCATCTGTCATTTGATTTTTCATTAAGTCATACGCTTCTTTCACTTTATCTATAGTTTTAATGCCAGCTGTAATACATATATCCAAGCAAGCAAAATTAATGATTTATAAACTTTTCTTTGTGGCACTTTTCGATGCATGGTACTGTTCATCTCGTTTGCAAGTATTATATGTGTATGTTTGTAGTGGTTTTAATGTCAGAAGAACACATATATTAACCTTGAAAGCTTGAAGCAAGCAAGATTATTCAGGAGGCTACTATTTAATTAATTGGCCCCTTAAATGGGGACAATTAGATTTAGGTATCATTAAGTAATCAGTACATCTAGTATTCTAGTTCCTTTTATTTAACAATTCAATAATTTCCAGTAGATAGGGACAATTAGATTAAAAGATCATTAAGTAATCAGTACATCTAGTTCCTTCTTTTTAATAATTTCCAGTAGATGGGGACAATTAGATTTAAAGATCATTAAGTAATCACTTTTTAATAGTTTAATGATTTCCTGTAGATGGGGACAATTATATTTAGAGATCATTAAGTAATCAGTACATCTAGTTCCTTTTATTTAACAATTCAATAATTTCCAGTAGATGGGGACAATTAGATTTAAATATCACTACCCTCGCACAA